AAGTAGATAACATCACTTTTTATTCAAAACCAATTACAATGTCAAATATTCATCCACTTTGACCTAGGACTTCCATTTCTAGGAATTATCCTACAGAAACACTTAACAAGGACACACAATGCTAAAGGATGTCCACTGGAGATCTGTTCGTAACAACAAAAACTCAGAAACAACCCTAATGCCCACTGACAGGAAATAAACTATGGCACCACCATACCCAGGGAGGCTATGTTGCCTTTAAACTAATATGTCAGATCTATGAGTACTAAGATCCAGACACGGTCAAGGTACATTACTAAGTAAAAAAAACCTATCATCATGTTCCATATAAGTCCCTTTTTGTTAATTTTTTTTTTAAAGTTAATGTAGAAAACTCTGGGAATATATACCAAACTGCTGAAAGTGACTGTCTTTGAAGAGACAAATTTCAAGGAACTTACTTTCTACATAATTAATTTCTATAATGATTACATTTTATGTCATATCTACAATAGGCAAAAAAAAAAGAGTAAAATGATTTTGTTCAAAAGATTTTTCTTTTTTTTTTTTTTTTTTTAAGCTCTGGGATACATGTGCAGAACGTGCAGGTTTGTTACACAGGTATACACGTGCTATGGTGGTTTGCTGCACCCATCAACCCATCATCTACATTAGGCATTTCTACTAATGCTATCCCTCCCCTTGACCCTCACCCCCTGACAGGCCCTGGTGTGTGATGTTCCCCTCCCTGTGTCCATGTGTTCTCACTGTTCAACTCCCACCTATGAGTGAGAACTTGTTCAAAGTTTTAAAAAAACTGAGAAAATTTTTACATTAAACCACTCTGCTAGTCATATTCAAGCATTTCTAGAGAAAGAACCTACTAGAAGTAAACACCACAGACCAGACTCCAGACAATGTTAGTTAGGTAAGGTAAATGGGAGGGTGTGTCTGTCCCAATGCTCTCTTAGCCCACCATCTCTGCCCACATAAGGAAGCTGGCAAGTAGCTACCTGGAACTAGTGGGAACTAAGAAACTCAGAGGTCTGGTTCCTTATCTCAAGAAAGCTTTAATCAAGAACAACAAGGACAGCTCCGCCCACACAAGCTGTTTACAGATTCCAAAAGCAGTCTACAGCAGCTCAACAACGAGTCTTAACCAAAAATCCACAAGGATTTTATCACTAAAATTGATGAACTGTCAAGAGGCAAATTTCTGGCAACAGTCTTTTAAAAATCCAGTTAGCATAGTCCAGTGCTTCCCAATCTTTTCCAAGTCTCAGCACACACAGGAAATGAGAATATTTACAGGGCACACTGCTTCAAACAGAGGATGCTTGCTGACAGATGACGGATCCGGGGCTCATGCTCTTGCAGCCCCAGGCCTGGTGGGCTGCAGGCATGAATGCTACGCCATATGTGTCACAGTCTTGGCACATCTATCAGGAGGGTCCTGCACAGGGAGAGTATCTGTTTTAAAAGCTTCCATCAAGTATTACTACATTCAGGCCAGGCACGGTGACTCACACCTGTAATCCCAGCACTCTGGGAGGCCAAGGTGGGTGGATCACCTGACGTCAGGAGTTTGAGACCAGCCTGGCCAACATGGTGAAACCCCCTCTCTACTAAAAATACAAAAAATCAGTTGGGTGTGGTGGCAGGTGCCTGAAATCCCAGCTACTCGGGAGGCTAAGGCAGGAGAATAGCTTGAACCCAGGAGGCAGGAGGTTGCAGTAAGTCAAGATCACGCCACTGCACTCCAGCCTGGGCAACAGAGTGAGATTCTGTTGCCACCCGCCCCCCGGCAAAAAACAGTAATATTACATTCATTTAACAAATATTTATTAAGTACCTAACAGGTTCCAAGCACTGTGTTAAGTTCTGTCATCTTCTGCTACAGACTGGAGATAGCCTGCAGACTAGAGGAGGAGACAGACAAACGAGCAATTCCAATACAATGTAAATTGTGCTGTGTAAGGGGAGTATCGGGATTTTTATGGAATCCCATGCCTGGGGAAAGGGGATTTGTCAATGATTATGTCTCAGAAATGTTCCCTAAACAGAAGAGCAAAGAGTACTTCAGGTACAGGAAACAACAGGCGCAAAGACCTAAATACAAGAAACTATATCAAAGGTTGGGCGTGCTGGCTCACACCTGTAATCCCAGCATTTGGGGAGGCTGAGGTGGGCAGATCACTAGGTCAAGAGGTTGAGACCATCCTGGCCAACATGGTGAAGCCCCGTCTCTACTAAAAATACAAAAATTAGATGGGCATGGTGGCACACGCCTGTAGTCCCAGCTACTCAGGAGGCTGAGGCAGGAGAACTGCTTGAACCCAGGAGCGGAGGTTGCAGTGAGCTGAGATCACAACATTGCACTCCAGCCTGGTGACAGAGCAAGGCTCCGTCTAAAAAAAAAAAAAAAGGGCAGCAAAACAGGCTCTGTACCATACAAACAGAACAATAGGAGGGAGTTAGTTTTGTGGTTTTAATGCATGTATTTTTTGATTAATAGGAATAGGGCCTATAAGAAAGTCATTTCACCAAGGTTAGGAAAGTATGTGCCTTCCTACACAATAATTGATTAAACGTACACTATGAGAAAAGTAAATTAAGAAAATTCTTGAAGATAAATTTGTAAATATTGACAATACTATTGATTAGCAAGCAAGTAACATCAGCTCATACAAATTAAGTGTATTCCTGAAGTTAAAGGCAATTTTTACTGCGGTGGCAGATATTTGCTACTGAAAAAGAACAAAACATTACCTATTTTTAAGAGTAAAGATTATTTAAACCCTCTATGATATTTCCAACATTTAAAGTAATGGGAAAGCAAAAGAACTCCCAGACGGGCGCAGTGGCTCACGCCTGTAATCCCAGCACTTTGGGAGGCCGAGGCAGGCAGATCATGAGATGAGGAGATCGAGACCATCCTGGCTAACACAGTGAAACCCCGTTTCTACTAAAAATACAAAAAATTAGCCGGGCACGGTGGTGGGTGCCTGTAGTCCCAGCTACTCAGGAGACTGAGGCAGGAGAATGGCGTGAACCTAGGAGATGGAGCTGGCAGTGAGCCAAGATTGCACCACGGCACTCCAGCCTGGGCAACAGAGCGAGACTCCATCTCAAAAACAAAAAACAAACAAACAAACAAATAAACAAAAAACTCCCAGACACCTAATATACGTTTCATGTTCTTTTGAGAAAGCTTAATTAGGTTGGGCGTGGGGGCTCATGCCTATAATTCCAGCGCTTTGGGAGGCTGAGGCTGGCGGATCACCTGAGGTTAGGAGGTCGAGGCTATAGTGAGCCATGACTGCGCTACTGCACTCCAGCCCAGGTGACAGGGCGAGGCTCTGCCTTGAAAATAAAATAGGCTGGGAGCAGTGGCTCATGCCTATAATCATGGCACTTTGGGAGGCCGAGGTGGGCAGATCACGAGGTCAGGAGTTCAAGACCAGGCTGACCAACATGGTGAAACTCAGTCTCTACTAAAAATAATAATAAAAAAAATTCAGCCTGGTGTGGTGGTGTGCGCCTGTAATCCCAGCTACTCAGGAGGCCGAGTCAAGAGAATCGCTTGGGCCGGGCGCGGTGGCTCACGCCTGTAATCCCAGCACTTTGGGAGGCCGAGGCGGGCGGATCACAAGGTCAGGAGATCGAGACCATGGTGAAACCCTGTCTCTACTAAAAATAGAAAAAAAAAATTAGCCGGGCGCAGTGGTGGGCGCCTGTAGTCCCAGCTACTCGGGAGGCTGAGGCAGGAGAATGGCGTGAACCCGGGAGGCGGAGCTTGCAGTGAGCTGAGATTGCGCCACTGCACTCCAGCCTGGGAAACGAAGCGAGACTCCGTCTCAAAAAAAAAAAAAAAAAAAAAAAAAAGAGAATCGCTTGAACCTGGGAGACGGAGGGTGCAGTGAGCTGAGACCATGTCACTGCACTCCAGGCCTGGGCTACAGCGCAAGACTCCATCCCAACCCCCACCCTCCCACCACCAAAAAAAGGAAACAGCTTAATTAGTCAAGCATGGTGGCTCATGCCTGTAACCCCAACACTCGGGGAGGTCAAGGGAGGAGGACTGCTTGAGCTCAGTTCAAGACCAGCCTGGACAACATGGTGAGAACCCTGTCTCTACAAAAAAATTTGTAAAAAATTAGCCGCGTGTGGCAGTGCATGCCTGTAATCTCAGCTACTCGGGAGGCTGAGGTGGGAGAATCGCCTGGCCCCAGGAGGTCAAGGCTATAGTGAGCCATGACTGCACCACTGCACTCCAGCCCGGGTGACAGGGTGTGGCCCTGTCTTAAAACAAAATAGGCTGGGCGCAGTGGCTCATGCCTGTAATCCCAGCACTTTGGGAGACCAAGGCGGGTGGATCACGAGCTCAGGAGTTCGAGACTAGCCTGACCAACATGGTGAAACCCTGTCTCTACTAAAAATACAAAAAAAAAAAAAAATTAGCCTGGCGTGGTGGTGTGTGCCTGTAACCCCAGATATTCAGGAGGCTGAGGCAAGAGAATCACTTGAACCTGAGAGGCGGAGGTTGCAGTGAGCTGAGATTGTACCACTGCACTCCAGCCTAGGTGACAGAGTGAGACTCTGTCTCAAAAAAACAAAAACAAAAACAAAAACAAAAAAACGAGGTCAGGAGATCAAGACCATCCTGGCTAACACGGTGAAACCCCGTCTCTACTAAAAATACAAAAAATTAGCCTGGCGTGGTGGCGGGCGCCTGTAGTCCCAGCTACTCAGGAAGCTGAGGCAGGAGAATGGTGTGAACCCGGGAGGCGGAGCTTACAGTGAGCCGAGAAGGCGCCACTGCACTCCAGCCTGGGTGACAGAGCGAGACTCCATCTCAAAAATAAATAAATAAATAAATAAAAACTAAAATAAAAACAAAACAAATAAATAGCTTACTTAGCTTAGAAATAAGGCCAAATATATCTATATTCTTTTCTCTCTCTTACATAGAAATAAACAGAGCAACTGTCATAACAGAAATAAGCATAACTGGTATTTACCTCTCTGCCTGTAAGGATATGTCTTGCCAATTTTACTTTTGCAAAATTCCCCTTGCCGATTGTTTTCAACAGTCTGTAGTTTCCGATGTGAGGTTGTTCGTCTGCACAGGAAGCTATAGAGTTTCTACACCGAGCTCCTGAACGGCTGGTACGAGAGGTAACTTCTTGACGCCCATCTCCATGTGACGTGTGCTGCAATACAGCATACACAAAGATAAGGAAACGAGAGAACACAGAGTGCTTGCCAAGTTCTAAGAGCTCCTAGTTGAAGAAACAACATTCCTACTTTAAGTATCTAGCACTTCAAAGGAATTTAACCACATAATATAAATTTGAGGAAAATGAGAATTCTGAGATGAAAAATACCAAATGTTGAAGTTCAATTGGGTGTTCAGGAATAAATTAGATATTTTGCATATGTGGCTGCCATATATAATAGGAGTAAAAGGGCTGCCTTCCGATTATACAGTGCTTAACTTTTCCATATGCTAGTAAGTGCACCTGCACACCTGCGCCTCACTACAGCCCATGCAGCAGGGGAAAAGCTAATGTCACCATTCACCAGATAAGCGTACAGCTACATAACTGTTCAGGGGGAAATCTATAGAGAATCTGAATTCCCAATTTCCTTCTACACTACACTGCTATTCAAAACATTGTGCTTTACAGAAATAGCTAGATTGTTTGGCCCTTAATAGATGGCCATTGTTGAATAGATGAATGAAGTACTCAATATGTCTCTACCCTATGAAATATTCAGGCCCGAGAATTACACTTCTGTGTACACACTGTGTACACAGCTGTATGCGCAGGCATCCTGCTACTACTGCTCCCTTGGCCCCCACACACAAAGGATGAGATGTCCCAATCCCTTCCCCACTGTGGCTGTTAACTCCTGCCCGAGGGAGGCTTCTCATTCCACATGCACTCACAGCCACTTTCTACCCCCTTTATATATGTTTCTCTTTTCCAACTTTTTATCCAGGAAAATGTCCTGTCTTTCTCTATGTACCTATAAATCAAAACAAGCCTGATTTAACTAATAAACTGCTCTGTAATATACTCAAGTCAAAGAAAATGAAACTCAGTGTTTTAAAGTGAAAGTAAGCTTTAAAACTTCTGCCATCTACCTCTGAATTTCTCAAAAGATGTCCTTTTCAGAATTTCCACACTAATCTCCATCTACTTCTTCACTATTTCTCTAATATTTTCACATTCACATACCAGGTTTGGGGATAGGCTCTTGTCTACTTTACTCAGTTATCACATAATATGGCATCTCAACAACAATTTCTATGTTTTTACTGCAAATGTCTATTTTAGATAAAACAGGCTTTTTATGACCTCACTACAAATCTAGGCAACTTGTAAACATTGTTCCTATAACAAAAATGATTCTAATTTCCATATTAGAACTTGGGGAAAATAGTCCATTTATAAATAAGGAGTTGATAAAAGAAAAGACTAAAACGATAATAAAGCTGTGACACTAAGGCTTTAATACAAAAACAGGTAGATTTTGTTGTGCACAAGATGCATGCTATTGTAACTGCAGTCTAGTTTTTTTTTTTTTTTTTTTTTTGAGACGCAGTCTTGCTCTGTCGCCCAGACTAGAGTGCAGTGGCGCGATCTCGGCTCTCTGCAAGCTCCGCCTCCCAGGTTCACGCCATTCTCCTGCCTCAGCCTCCCGAGTAGCTGGGACAACAGGCGCTCGCCACCATGCCCGGCTAATTTTTTGTATTTTTAATAGAGACGGGGTTTCACCGTGTTTGCCAGGATGGTCTTGATCTCTTGACCTCGTGATCCGCCCACCTCGGCCTCCCAAAGTGCTGGGATTACAGGAGTGAGCCACCGCGCCCGGCCTGCAGTCTAGTTTTAAAAGAAGCTGTGTGACCATGTTTATGTTTATTTCTACATGATTTTAATTACACTAGAATTTAAGTTTCATGAAAACAAAAACAGGAATGTATTATTCCTTATATCTTATAATAGCAGTTGGTACAAAACTGGTACTCAATAAATATTAGAATGGCTGAATAAATGATATAAATGCTAACCGCTATAGTATTCAGAAGGTTAAAAATAAGGGAAATTTCTCTTTATCTTCTGAATTTCTTCATTCATTCATTGAATATTTACTGAGTGAGCTACACACACACATACACACACACACACACACACACACCAGGCACTATTTAAGGTGTGGGAAAAAGCAGTGCATAAAGCAGTCCATGTCCCCATGAAGTAGGTATCAAGTGGTTTTACTATCTGTGCAAAGAAAACATACTCATTGAAGTTAAACTACTGGCCAAAATTTTCATTAAAAAAGCTTTTGCAATGTACACATTCATTTTCAAATTTATATGTTTCATAAATTCAACCTTCATGTGTGAAAGCTGATCATATTAATTGGGTCATTCTACTCATACTCAACTAAATCAGAGTTGAGGGCCAGGGGAGGGGGGCGGGGTAGGGGTGGGGGATTATAACATTGCTCCAAGATTATAATTCTCTGTAAGCCTGACAGCTGAAACTGCCTATTGTAACCTGAAACCAGTTTATCTAATGGCTACTGAAACAACTTGTTGCTGACTCTAAGACCAGTATTACCCACCACTGTCACTCACCAATCAGGGCTTGCCACCTCCCCAGAACTTTACTAGTGCCAATGACCTGTCTTTCAAAATATTTAGCACTTCTCTTTATAAAACCTCCATCCTTTACTTTGCTCTTCATACATACTGAAGACCACCCTGTGGTCTGTGTGTGTGCCCCAAATTGCAATTCTTGCGTCCCAAATAAAATATTTTAACTTCAGAGATTCACCTCTATGTTTTATTTGACTTTGACGTGTGTTTTCCATAATGAGGCAAATTGGTGAAATAATAATTTTCATGCAAACCAACTGCCTTCTATTTAATGTAAAATAAAAATATTAGAAAAATCTTTTTTTTTTTTTTTTTTTTTTTTTGAGATGGAGTCTCACTCTGTCACCAGGCTGGAAGGAGTGCAATGGCACGATCTTGACTCACTGCAACCTCCGCCTTCCAGGTTCAAGCAATTCTCCTGCCTCAGCCTCATGAGTAGCTGGGACTACAGGTGCACACTACCATACCCGGCTAATTTTTGTATTTTTAGCAGAGACAGGGTTTCACTATGTTGGCTAGGCTGGTATCGAACTCCTGACTTTAAGTGATATACCCACCTTGGCCTCCCAAAGTGCTGGGATTACAGGCATGAGCCACAGTGCTCGGCCAGGAAAATCTTAAGATTCATAGGCATCCAACGTTCCTATCTTTGCTCACTCACCAACATGCTTGTAATAAAAAACCAACTCCTCAGCACTTCATCCACTAGCAATGTAACCTTCACAAGGACAGACTTTTTGTGTTTTGTTCATTATCAGATATTACCCAAACCTGAAACAGTGCCTAACACATGGTAGATATGCAATACATTTTTGCTGAATGTTAAACACATGGTAGATATGCAATTCATTTTTGCTGAATGTTAAACGAATTCAAGGCCCGCTCATCTCTTCTTCCTCTCCCACTACATCATCCAGTATACTCTAGCTTTGATTCAGTCAGTGTTGTTCCCTCCATTTGAATGTCCTTTCTTCTCTTCATATCTAAGGAAAATCTACTCATTCTATTGTGTTTGTATCATCTGTCACTATCTTCATGAAGCCTTCTCTGACTCTCCCTGCATCTCACCAGAACTTCTTACTTCTCCTTACTGGGATCCCAATGTACTTCACTTGTATCTCACTCTATTATGCTACTTTTTTTTGTAGACAATACTATTATTCACCACACTGGCTTTTTTACATCTGAGTTCCTGGAGGACTGCACTCCCTTCCCTTGAGGTTAGGCATAGACAGCCATGTGACTAAGTTGAACACCTCCTGTGAGTGAAAATGAATGCCATTCCCATGCTGAAGCATTTAGTCACCTGTGCTTCACTCTCCAGCCCTGTGTTTTGCTCTCTTGACCCTAAGCATTGCCCTAAAACGGATGGCCACAAGACCAAACTGGCCTGGACATGGAGATCAGTTTCCATGGAGCCAATGAGCCCTCAAGCAGACTTGGTATGAGCAAAAGTTTTTTATTGTGTTAAATCATGAGGATTTTGGTGGCATGTATTACCACAGCATAACCCAGCCTAACCTAAAACACGCTCATGCACATCAACAGTCGTAACAGAAAGCAGAAAGAAACTTGTATTTCCTCACACAACAGACTGACAGATCTGATGCTTGTTAGGGTTAAACTTAATATATTTAATTCAACGTTTCCTGACAAAGTTCTTAAATTAAAAAATTTAAGAGTTAACTTTTAAAACGTTCCCTCAAAACAGAAGCAAATTAAATTGTTTTTTGCTTCCATTTGGCCTTCATTGTATTTTCCCAAGAATCCATCACTGACCCTAAGAAAAAGTTCCCTATTCCTATATCACAGCACTCAATACCAACTTTAAACATTTAAACAAATAATTCTGAATTCTTGTACTGTTAAATATTTCATACACGTATTTTTTTCTTCCTAAGGAGCCAATAAACAACCTGCATACACACACACACACATACACACACAAATGTTATATCATTTTTTGATAACCACTTGATTTTTTTTTTTTTTTGAGATGGAGTCTCGCTCTGTCACCCAGGCTGGAGTGCAGTGGCTGGATCTCAGCTCACTGCAAGCTCCGCCTCCCGGGTTTACGCCATTCTCCTGCCTCAGCCACCTGAATAGCTGGGACTACAGGCGACTGCCACCTCGCCCGGCTAGTTTTTTGTATTTTTTAGTAGAGACGGGGTTTCACCGTGTTAGCCAGGATGGTCTCGATCTCCTGACCTCGTGATCCGCCCGTCTCGGCCTCCCAAAAGTGCTGGGATTACAGGCTTGAGCCACCGTGCCCGGCCTTTTTTTTTTTTTTTTAGACAGGGTCTCGTTCTGTCGCCCAGGCTGGAGGGCAGTAGTGTGATCGATCATACCTCACTGCAGCCTCGAACTCCTCGACTCAAGGGGTCATCCCACCTCAGCCTCCCTAGTAGCTGGGACTACAGGTGCAGCACCACACACGGCTGATGTTTTAATTTTTTGTAGAGATAGGATCTCATTATGTTGCCCAGGAGGGTCTCAAACTCTGGCCTCAAGCAATCCTCCTGCCTTGGTCTCCCAAAGTGCTGA